AAAAAAGGGAAAGAATAACAGACATGAATAAAAACAAACAAATTAAGAAATAATTTTATTTAGTAGCTATAAAAATTGAAACCACAAATTCAAACAAGCAGACAACAAAAAACGAAAGAAAAAAAAATGGAGAACCAAGCGAATGACCATGAAAATAAAGATGGTTATCATATCGTCGATAATAAAAATCTGCCATAAAAATTATTAAAATGGGAAAATAAAAACTTCCCCTCCTTTAAATAAACCTTTTAAATGTTGACAATACAAACCCTGGAAAACTCATAAAACAAAATTCAATTAGTACGCGCATGCGTGTGTATAAGTTGGGACAGCTTTTCTTTCATGCATGTTGATGTGTTTAAGTGAATTGCTGGATGTGTACATGATCCTGATTTTACGCATTTATAATCATTTTGTTGGTGTGTATTCCTGCCATTCGACAAGGGACTATTTCATCACATATATACATCTATGAAAGAGATGTTACATATACTAGACTAGATCAATAATTCTGTAAATTGACATGTAGTTATTAGCTAAAATTATATATGAAATTTGTTTGATCATTTGCCCCTAGCCAAATGATCAAACAAATTTCCAAAGCCAGTAAGACGCAAAAAGAAAGTGAAAGTGGAGATAAAAATAAAGGAAAGAGAAAGTGAAACTAAGAAAAAGTTATTGAGAAGAGAAGACAATAAAAGAACAGGTTTCAAAGAAACACAACATGATTATTGATATTCAATTTAAATTTTTAAAGATCGTAGTTGACAGGAAAAAAAAGACGGAAGGGAGTTCTACAAAAGAGAACGGAGTGCGAGGAAACTGTTAGAATAGAACTTACGGTTACATCTAGCAATTTCAACTGTAAAATGTTGAGGCCAATCTGCCAATCGAGTATGGCACTTAAATTCATGAAGTCGAGGTGACAAAGAGAAAAACTCTTCAGAACAATTGCCATGAAAATATCTATAGAAAACGACCCACGTAAAATTTATTACCGTGGTAGGAAACTGACTGAGGACTAGATGCTAGGTCAAGACCTGTAATATTGCAGATTCTTCTTTGATTTTTTTTTCAAGATTCTCTAGATGTTTGCTAAGTAATGTCTGAACTATGTGAATAATATTCAGCAATTATTTAAACTTCATTTAAAAAAAATGATTACATTGAAAAAATATTATATAAAATACAAATGCTTATTATATCATTAAGTCAGAAAATCGTTGATGTACACACACACACTCATATATATATATATATATATATATATATATATATATATATATATATATATATACGATGCTTAAAAATCCATTCGGTTATAATTTATTTCATGAATATATCCAAATATTCATCTTTCAGACCGGAGTTTTTTTTTTTTTTTTTTTTAAATAAATGGAGTCAACTTATACAGACAATAGGAAAAGGGAGAGAAAGAAAAAAAAGCAGTAATTTGAACTGTTAATTTCTCTGTTGCTGAATGGTTAACAGCACATCAGACGAAATGAGAGTTTCCATCTGTGATACAGGTTCGATTCCTGGTGGAGAATGCATATTTTCCACGAAATTTCTCAAATATTCATGCCGGTAAATATAAAAAATATTGTTTAATTAAAACAGACCATTTACTCAAATAATTTGTATCCATAAAAATAACAGATAGACAGAATATATATATATATATATTATGGACTCTCCCGTCGGTTTCGGCGTATGAGGATCTGACAGCTTCAGTTATGAAATTTTGCGCAATAATCTTAAGTGGTACTTAGGACCCGCTAGTGATTTACAAAGGAGTTCGCATATGGAGAAAGAGTAAGGATTGTGGGATGAGATTACCGTTAGATGGGCTGACCTTTTGATCTTGCTCTCGCTTGTTGAAGATGATTCAGAATATATATATATATATATATATATATATATATATATATATATATATATATTTGAAAAGATTCTTACAGGTACAAAAAATTTTATTAGGGCAAGGACTAAGCGGAATGTAAAGGACATAATTATGAAAACTAAGAACTAAAACAAACAACCGGTTTCGTTCCAGTACTCCTCAAGTTTGATACACTGGGATTATTTAATCATGAACTTAAAAACAAAAAAAAAACATTCAATGAGGGGAAAGGGGAAAAAATTGAGGAGTACTGGGACGAAACCGGTTTGTTTGTTTTAGTTCTTAGTTTTCATGATTATGTCCTTACATTCCGCTTATTCAGAGCCATAATATATATATATATATATATATATATATATATATATATATATATATATATATATATATGAAAATGGCATATAATATTGTAGATACTAGAACAATGTTTTGGAAAATTAATGACAATGAGGAAAATCTATCGTGTGACGTGTTTTGTCCATTATGACTTCATCAAACAAAAATGATGTTTATATTCACGTGACAACACATGCGCATGAAGGGGAGGGGACACTGAAAATTATATACATTTAAATTAATTTTTTGTAAATGTGTTTAGGTATATATTCTATCGAGTGCCATTTAGTTTCTTCTTTCTCTTTCTCTTTCTCTTTTCATCACCTTTGCGATTAAGTGTGCGACATTGTGATAACAGAAAAAGTTGAAACGTTGAAGGAACCTGTACGCTAATTTATTTTGGATGATCTGGCAATTAAAGCACTTTCTATCCATTTTCGTCTTAGTAAATTGCTTTCTCTTTTAATTAAAGCAACATATTTGGATCAAAATTATGGTCAGTCACATTAATGCCTGGAGTGTGTTGCATTGTAAAAGGATCCTTTTGTGTTCATATAATTTTTTATTTAAATTTCTTGTGGTTTCTTCTGTGTATTCTTCATGACAATCATTACAGGTGAAAGAGCAAATACCTCTTTCAAAAATCTCTTTCAATAACCCTTTACCTTGAGGGGATTCTTAGAAATTGTATTGAGCGAATATTTAGTACAAACAAATTTCGTCTTTCTTTCGTTTATACTCTATATTTTTAGTTATAAAAACTCAAATTAAATTTTCAATATTAAATTTAATCTTCTCTCATATCAAAAGATATGCCAGTTTCATGTCTAAAGATTTTCACATATTTTTTTAAACTTTCATTACATTTTCTCTTACCAGCGATCACATTGCATCGTATTCTTCCATATTTTAAGGGGTTTTGTTTCTTCTCTAAGAACAATGGAAAGGTAATTATGTGTGGTGAAGATATGAAGACTTTTCTTTCATTTTGAGAAATTATTTAGATTGTGTCGAAGAAAGTCAATATTTACGTTTGAATAGGAAAATACAATTATCGGATCCGTTCTAAGATTGTAAACTTATTATTTCTTGAGCGAATTTGTGTTGTTTTTTTTTTTTTTTCATAATGTTTAAAACGATGAAGATGGTATTGTTTATTTTTTTATTTTCAACTGAATTGGATTAAATGTTTTTTTTTCCTTTTTTGTTACTCATCAATATCAAAATCATTGCCTCATCAGTATTTAAATTAAAATGACCTCGGCTTTTACAATTTCTCAAATATTGAAATCTACACGTCTTCTTTCGACTTACGATATAATACTGCATCGTTGTCCTTTTTTTTTTACATTCAATCGCTTTCGTATAAACATTATTATCGCATACACCATGTAATTTCTCTCCTCCACTCCTTACCACTACAACTACTAAAGTATTAGGTTGGTGCTAAAATAATGACGTAATAATGTCGTTTTTTGACGTTAAAAAACGACATTATTACGTCATTATTTTTGCACCAACCTAATATTTATGATTATTAAGAATATAATATTAATATTTTTGCTATCTCTTCTAAACCCCGTTTTGTCAAACATTTATACAAGCTCATTTTTCTTCTTCTATATGCCTTATCAATTCAGGATGTGAGTGATCATGGCTCTCCACAGCTTCCAGTCTTTTGTAGATCTTAGCAAAATTCGTCTTTTTGCTATAAAAGAAGCTATAGCAAAAAGATATATCATCTAAATAAACTTCATCATTCTGCCGTTCAATTAAAAAGTTTATTTTTCCAGGGGGATACAGTTATGTTATTTCTCAACAACTTCCACCCTTTGTAGATTTTTAGATAAATGTTTGTCTTTTTACATTTTCCTGATCCCACAAAAAGCCATGTATTTACATAAACTTCTTCTTCCTCTTCTTCTTTGTACCGTGTGCCCCCAGAGGTGAGTGATAATGGCTCTCCACAATTTCCTGTTCTTTGTAGCTTTTAGTAAAGTTAGTCTTTTTGCTGATTCTCCTAATCCTACTTTGGCCATCCATTTAGACAAACTTCTCCTACTCCTTCTTCTTCTTCTTCTTTGTACTGTGTGCCCCAAGAGGTGAGTGATCATGGCTCTCCACAATTTCCTGTCCTTTGTAGCTTTTAGTAAAATTTGTCTTTTTGCTGATACTCTTAATCCCACTTCTGTCAACCATTAACATAAACTTATTCCTCCTGTCCTCAATCTTCCTTCTTCCTTGTATTTTCCCCCCAGAGGTGAGTTTCATGGCTCTCCCTATTTCCTATCGTTTGTAAAAGCTTTTAGTAAATTTGTCTTTTTTTAAATCCACTCTTAATCCCCTTCTGTCAACCATTTAAAAATTTCTTCCTGTTTCTTCCTTTACCAACTTTCCCCAAAGGGACATGAGTGATCATGGCTCTCCACTATTTCCTGTCCTTTGTAGCGTTTAGTAAAGTTTGTCATGGTGCTGATACTCCTAATCCCTGATCTGCCAATCATTTACGCAAGTTCGTTAGGCAGGATATACGCTGCTTTTCTATGCTCTATAAATAAAACAAGATACATTGGGAAGATATATGGAGACTGTTCGTTTGAAAAAGGCTTAAGTTCGCCTACCATCTGTAGTTAAAGAAACTAGGTTTCATTTTCTGCCTTTCATCAAAGAGAAGAAGATACGCGACCTGAGATGGAGTAAGGAAATACCACCCGCCGGGTTAATTGAGATATTAGCAGTTTGTCAGTTGAAAAGGTTTGCCACCATGTTTTTTGGCCACGTTATCTTCTTCATAATCTATCTATCTATCTATCTATCTATCTATCTATCTATCTATCTATCTATATCTATATATATATATTTGTTCTTTTGTCATTTTTTCGGCCCGGTCTTTATCTTCGTAATTTTTTACATTTTATTTCTTTTTTCATTCTCTCTATTTTCTGTTGATAATTCTTCTTTCTTTCTTTCTTTCTTGGTACTTTCTTTTTTTTCATTTCTCTGTCCATCGTTCAATAGTTTCTTTCTTTCTTATTCCATATTTTTTTCTTTCTTTCTTTCTTTCTTTCTTTCTTTCTTTCTTTTTTCCATTCTACATCATTCCATCAATTTTCTTTCTTCCATTTTTGTTTCTTTATTCATCATTCGATACTATTTCTTTCTTTTTTTCTTTCTTTCTTTCTCCTTCCATCCTCTTTCTTTCTTTCTTTCATTTATCTACATTCGTTCTCGTTTTTTCTCTGTTCATCATTTTTGCTTTACTTCATTCCTCTCTTCCTCACTCCATCCTTTTTATTACTTTTTCTTCATCATTCCATCTTTTTCAGCTCTTTCTTTCTTTCTTTCTTTCTTTCCTTCTTTCTTTCTTTCTTTTTTTTTCTTTTTTTTGTTTCCTCAAAAACTTTCATGTACATTCTTTCTTTTTTTTTTTTGTCGATTTAAAGGTTTTTCCTTCAATCTTTATTTTTTGATCCATATTTTTCTTTCTTTTTTTTTTAAAGTTTTTGATTTTTTGAATTTTTTCTATTTTTACCTATTCTTTGATTTTTTATTTTAAAACCTTTCTTTATTTTATTCCATCCTCTTTCTGTCTTTCAGTTTGTACATTCTTTCTTTTTTTCTCTGTCGATCAGTCCTGCTTTCCTTCAATCTTTCTTCCCCACTCCATATTTTTCTTTCCTTTTTCTTTGTCATTACACCGTTTTCGTTTCTTTCTCTCTTTTTACTTTATTTCTTTTATTTTTCTTTCTTTCTTTCTTTCTTTCTTTCTTTCTTTCTTTCTTTCTTTCTTTCTCATTCCATCTTCTTTCTTCTTCCTTCTATCATCTTTTTCTTTCTTTCTTTCTTTCTTTCTTTCTTTCTTTCTTTCTTTCTTTCTTTCTTTCTTTCTTATTCTGTACTTTTCTGTCTTCCTTCTTCATCATTCTGTCGTTTTCATTTCTTTCTCTCTTCTTTCTTTCTTTTCTTTCTTTGTAAATAAAATAAACAAAGCAGAAATATCTATATTAATGTATTTTTATTAATATATAATTCAGTAGCCCTGTTATATTTTATCATAGATTATTTTATTTACATTGGCACTCAATATTTTTTTATTATAAAATCATTTATATATATATATATATATATATATATATTTATATATATATATATATATATATATATATATTTTTTTGTATGTGACTTTAGAAAATAGAAAAAACTGAACACGTTCAAAAATTTAATCCGGGGTTCCTTAGTATTTTTCTTTTAATTTTAAGAAGACAGTGCTCCATACATAAGTAGAGGTTTATTATAATAATAAAATTTTTTTTAAAAATTCCTTTCCTTCAAATCATATTTTTTTTCATATATATATATATATATATATATATATATATATATATAAATGTGTTGTGTGTGTGTGTGAAGGTAATAATGTTTGCGTGTGTGTTTAAATCTTTTGGGTATATAGGGATAAAATACCAGAGAGAGTTTGGATTATGTTGGATCTTGAATTGTCATATCTTATGATATTAGAATTATGGCTACCAATAACAAATCCCATTAGGACTTCTAGATCACTTCGAATCTCCTTACTGTATATGTTAAAATGACAGTAGTAAATAAAGCAAAAATGTTCTCCATTTTTCAGGGAACGCTATTGTAACGATTTCGATTTTTAAAACATGCTCATTATTTTGAAAATCATAATCACGCCAAAGTGGATACTAATGTCAATGCAATGGCTTTAATTTCGACCCTTCTATTACTTAACTATTGCAATTAAGATGAGAAATACAATAAAATAAAGTTCTTGAACGAATCTGTATTGAGGACAGTGTTCACAATGACAAAGACATCGGAGACAAGAACGCATAATGAAGACGACGCTGCATCGAAAAGTGTGAAATAAATAAAAGAATAAATAAATTTCAAAAATAAAATATCAAGTTTTTGATATTTGCAATTCATTAAGATGTCTCGTGACTAAAGAATCCAACATGCGTTCTTTTTTTAAAAATAAAAGGATGTGATGTGTTCCTCCCGTCGTGTTGACGCGCATCCTGAAAAATTTCCTTCCGTCTTTCTTTCAATTCTACGTTTCCCTTTCGTTTTTGTAAAATAAATCCTTTCTATCTCATATATATAAATCCCAAATATATGATTCTCTGTCCGTCCTTATCTTTTAAAATTCAAATAAAATCCAAAAATAAATTCAAAATTCTTATCCTTACTTTTAAATAAAATCTCTCTCGGATATTTGTTAAAATAGTCTTTACATTTTATTTCTGGTCGCTTCATTATTTTTCCTTTCGAAAACTAAATCTCTTTATATCGATTCATAAAGAAAAAAAAATCTAATTTTGTTCTCTTTTTCAGTCTTAAATCACTTTATACAAATTTTTAAAGATTATTTTGGGGGTTACAAAATAACATTATTACACAGCATATAAACATAATGAATTAATTTACATTATTAAAACTGTTATCCTCATCTTCAATGCCATATTCAAGAACGTCTCGGCACAACCGCTCCTACCTTTATGTCTATGCCTCTCTATATATCTGTTTATCTCTGAGATGAGGTATTATGATTACTTTCTATTATTTTACATTATTCGGACTAATATTTTTTTCATTGCAATATTTATCTCAATATATCGAAATTGTATAAACTAGTCTTTTTCAGGCCTTTGGAATATCTAACTGAACCCTTTATTTCGTCCATCATGGGTAGATTGTTCTAGTTCCACGTGACATAACTAAATCTGGATGTCTCAGTGATTTCTCTTTAACTCAACTCTCCAAGTTTTTTGTCCAATTTTGCTGTGATCCTGTATTGAACTCACAACTCTTTGGGTCTAGTCACTGATCTAACCAACGTCTTTATCCCATGGGTCATGGGTTTGGGTTAAGTTTTTCCAAAAAATTTGAAAAAATTTGTTTATTATTATTAATTGTTTATACAATTCTTACCTATCTCTGTTTTTTTATTGTGTTGTTTAATCATGTTTGTAATTAAATATTTAAAACTGTTAGTTGCAATAGTTGATAGTTTTTAGTGTTATATTTATTTTGATATATATTTATTATTAATATTATCAATTTTTGTTATATATATATATATATATATATATATATATATATATATATATATTGATACATGTTTCATTAAATAATATAGACAAGTGTTGTCTATTTATTTTATGTAAATTCTTTTCATAACGTCTGATAAGCTTAATAACATTATCATTAAACGAAGAAAGAAAATCACAATATTGATACATATTTTTTTTAATCCTATCTAAGCTTTCGGCTTACATAAGCCATTATTAAAGATGACAATTACTGTACAATATATTAAGCAATACACGGACAAAACAATGATGATAGTCTGTTTCTGTTTTACATGGAAGATTTCAAGCAACGACAAACTCGTGCATATAAGACGCTGGAAGCGAAAATCGCACCGCAGCTCATGACGTCACATGACCACGCGAGAATGAAAATTTAAGAAGTATTAAGGGGAAGCCGTTGGTATAAACCAATGGCTTCTCTTATAATTATAGGCATTTTGTGAATATTTATTATTTTTTATTTTATTTTGTTTAGGTTTCAAATGTTTTATATGCATATATTATTTAATGAAAGTTTTTGTTTATTGTTTTCATGAAAAAATAGTATGCCTAAACAAAAAACATTAGAATTTGTGTTTTTACAAGAATTTATAATTCAGGTAAAAATTTTGAATGTTTTAAATATATAGATATAGAATATAATAAAAAAAACTTATTTACTAATTTTATTTTATAACCATAATAATTTATTTATTCCATTACGTACTCACGACGCAATTTAATCAGATTTACAAATTCAAAAAATGCATAAAATATATTTTTTTTCATTAAAAGCAAAATTTATATATATATATATATATATATATATATATATATGTATATTTTGTGTGTATGTATGTAATGTTTGTGTTTGATTAATTATAATTTAGGAGTTTGAAAAAATAGGTGTAAAAATAATTTCTTTAAATATCTATTTTTTTTATATTTCGAAAAATAAGAAGAAAAAAAGTCCTTCATATTTATATATGTCAAAATAATATTTTGGAATAAGTTAAATAAACTTTTTTAATGTAATGAGATTCAATAAATATTTAGTTTTCCAAATGTCAGTTGCATAAATCGAAATTTATCGTTGACCTAAATTAAAAAAAATTTTAAAAAAATAGACAACGGGAAAAGTATGGATATTTTTTATACATTAATACAATTTGAGGGAAAAAGAAATCATTTACGATCCGGATAAATATATATTTATTTTTTTAAAATTGGAATTCCTTTTTTACTAAACTTTTTTATATGATGATAAATAGAATAGGAGAAATAGACAATGAATATATATTTAAAAATATAAATAAATAATAAAGAAAGAATAAATGAAATTTATAATAAATGTAATAAAATCAAATTTACACGGGCATTTTAAAATTTGTTAATATGTAATTAATACAATTTGATTTTATTATTTTATATAGCACTTCTTTTTAAATTTTGAAAATTTTTCACAATTTAAAAAATGAAGTGATGTTTCATCATTGAAAATTTCATTATAAATTTTTATGACCTTTAATGTTTTTTTATCCTGATGTTTATATATATTATAGTATAAATTGTATTATGGATGACTGACAAGGTTTAAAACATTCATTATAATGGTTAACTCAAAAAAATTTATGGATATTATAGAACACCTTAAAAAAGTAGATTTTATAAAAATTTTATACAGAAAAATTCAAAAGCGTAACCACAATTCCTTGGTAGCTTCAGTCTTTCATGAAACCTATTTTTCCATACTCCCCCACGATATTTATATATATTAAGAAATGGACAAATGATTTTGCTTATTTATTAAAGACATTTTTTTATGTTTAACGTTCTTTTTATAGATACAAGTATTTAAATGCTGCTGTTTTTAATAAACAGTATTAAATAACATTTACCGGCCTGAATGTCCGAGAAATTTTCATAGAAAATAAGGTCCTTTAACAGGATTCGAACCGTTTCCTATAATTCGGAACCGTCATTTACCTTCATATTTTCGTGCCTAACCTCTCGGCCACAAAGGATCGTTTCTATTGGCAAGATTCAAATTTAAAAATGTCTTTAATAAATAAATTGTCGGACTTTGTCCATTTCTTAATATATGACGTCATTTGTTTATATTTGATACGCCAGAGCAGTTATGAATGTATTTAGATTTTATGGATATATATTGAAGTTTATAAGCATAAATTCGACCTTGCCAACCGAACGATCCGTAGTTAAGTAATCAAAGTGAACCCTAATAATATAAAATATTAAAAATTATCTACAAATAGAGCTCAAAGTATTTATTACAGAGCATATATATCAGTCAATCAGTTAATGGCTTGTTTGATATACATTCCATGTTCATCATGTATCTTTCGATGCATGAATGACGAAATTAAATTGATTTTTCTGCAGTCATGCCTAATTTTATTTCTGCGTTAATTTTTTGCCATCAATTTAATAGAATTCTCGGTCTGTCCTTAAATTTACCCATATTGGGGGGAAAGGATTCATATATATGTAACTTTTCAAACGATTCTACTTTAAAATTGAATTGGTTAGAGAATAAATGGGATTTAAATATTCGGATCTCCGATTCCTCAATCCGAGCCGCTATCCATTAGACCCATGATGCAAAATTTCTTCGAGCATGTTGTAAATTACATATTAATGAAATTCAAAAATTTAAATTCATCTGAATGGAAAATTTCGCTTTGGTCTGCAAGAGAATGTCAATCAAATAAAAAGTTTGATGAAATAAATACGAAATAATTTTTTTTTTGAAATTTAATTAAGAGAAAAAAATTTTAAAAAAAGGAAAAAAAAATGGAAAAAAAAGGAAAGATAAAATTGTGAAAGCTGCGTTTTAGAAAAGAAATGGAAGAAATT